GTACGTTCTTCGCTTGGGACTTGGAATGACGGTAGCTTTCTCAAGTGATTGAGTGCGCGTGTGTCTCTTGATGTTGCTCTTCGAAGACCTGGTGTCTTCGTTGTCATCGTCGCTCGAGTCCATGTCGTCGTCAGTTTTACCTTCTTCTTTTTCTTCGTCCTCATCATGATCATCAAACTCAACGACACTTGACTCATCGTTGTAGTTGCGCGGACCTTCATCAAACTTGTCTTCCATGAATGTGGCATCGCGACTGATCTTGATCGCTCCTGTTGACACTTCCTCAAATCGATATGACTTCTGGTGTTCGGCGTATCCCAGGAAACGACAGAGTGATGACTTGGAGTCGAACTTCGCGCGTTTGTCTTGAGGCACTTGAACATACGCGTGGCATCCAAACACTTTAAGGTTGGCCAGAATCGGTTTCTTCATCGTCCACACTTGATATGGAGACTTGTCTTGGTGAATGGCACGTGTTGGACAGCGGTTTCGAAGAAACATCGCCGTCATCACTGCTTCACCCCAGTAGCTCTTTCCCAGTCCAGCGTGTTCCATCATGCAACGCGCACACTCGACCAGCGTGCGATTCATTCTCTCAGCTACTCCGTTTAGCTGAGGAGTATATGGGGGTGTGAACCTTTGTTGTATTCCCCCGTTCCGCGCAGAATCGTGCCAGCTTGTCGGACTTGTATTCACCCCCATTGTCGCTTTGAAGGTACTTCACGCGCTTTCCGGTTTGCGTTTCGGCCATCGCAGCGTATTCCATGAACTTCGCCGCAACTTCAGATTTGCTCTTGAGCAGATAGACGACACAGTATCTTGACTTGTCATCAATGAATGTCACGAAGTACCGTTTTCCACTGAAAGTTGCCATCGACATCGGTCCGCATACGTCGCTGTGAATCACTTCGAGGAGTTTGGAGGTGCGAGCTGTAGTGTTTGATTGGAAGCGCACTCGAGTCTGTTTTCCCAGAGCACAACCTTCACACACGTCCCACTTCTTCACCGAAGATATGTCGATGCCAATTCCAATGTTCTTCGTCACGATGCAATTGAGTCCATCGTGACCTATGTGGCCAAGCCGAAGGTGCCAGAGGTACGACTTGGTGCCCCCTTGACATCCCGACGACTTGGCTGCATTTGCTTGTTCCGGCGCCACTGGAGTCATTTGCAGCTTGAACAGTCCTTTACCTTCACGGGCACCAATTTTCCACTTGGTCCCTTTCGCTTCTCCATAGCACCCATCCTTCGTGAACGTCACTGGGCCGACATCCTTGGTGAAGCGGCCGACCGAGAACAGGTTTCTGGATAACTTTGGGATGTGCCACACGTTTGTGAGCACACCTTTCTTCATCCCTTGGGGTGTCTTCATCGACATGACAATGTCCCCACTGCCGATTGCTTGGACGATTCCATCATCCGCGAGATGGACATCCACAGCGTCAAACCCCTTGTAGTTCCGCATGAACTTCTTGGAGCACGTCATGTGCTGCGTCGCCCCGGAGTCGACCAGCCAGATGTCGCTCGATTTCGCAGATGTCGTTTCACCGATCGAAAAGAGGTAGTCGCCCGAGTCTTCTTCTTGAGCGACGTTTGCACGTTGTGATCGATAGCGGTCGCCGCTGTCTTGAGCACGCTGTGGCCGGTGTCTCTCCGTGTTTTCTTGGATGCGCGAGGGGCACTCCGCCATCCAGTGACCAATCTTTCCGCAATTGTGGCACGGCCAGGACTTCTTCACTGGTCGCCCTTTGCGCTGATTGTCCCTTGTGATGAACGCTTGACCTTGCGAAGCTTCATCACCTTTACTTCCTTGCTCCTTCCGCTTCATTTCTTCATGAAGCAGTCGAGACATCACGAGCTCCCAGCTAAGAGTGTCTGAGCGCGACTCCAAAGCTGTGATCAAGAATTGATACGAGTCACTCAGGCTGCCGAGAAGTGTGATCACCAGATCGTCCTCGCAGACTGGAGCCCCCACCGCTTCTAGCTGTTCCGCCAGCGTCTTGAGCTTGTTGATGTGTTCGAGCACATCGTCGCCTTCTTCCATCATTGTCGTGAAGAAGCGACGGCGCAAGAACAGCTTGTTGGCAAGACTCTTCTTCTCGAAGTGGTCTTCCAACCTTGACCATGCGTCGCATGCACCACTTGCCGACCGGACCAACGGTAGCTGGGAATCTTCCATGGCTAGACAGATCACTGCCATCGCCTTTCTTGACTTCCTCTTGTACGTCGCTTGGTCCAACTGAGTCTCGCACTGTTCCGCCTTGATCTCACCGCTGACGACCTCCCATAGGTCCCGTTCCTCCAGCACCATCTGCATCTTGAACTTCCAGGCGTGGAAGTTAGTTCCATCGAACTTGGAGATGCGGAGGGAGGAGGCGTCCATGGCAGCTAAGCTTGAATTGTTGGCGGTTTCAGAGTCTGACGAACTTGGGCTCATAACCTGATGAACTTTAGACTTCTTGGTCCGAGTGCAAAACGCAAAGTGAATATATATTTGTAATAGGTACTTAGTTCGCAACTTTGAATACTACCTCTAAGCCTATTATTCGCAGTGACGTCATCCAGTGACGTCACCCACTGAAGTCACCCACTGACGTCATCCAATGACGTCATTTCCTGACTTCGCCCTTACTGGTACATACCGGTACCCACCGGTATAGCGAAGCTTGGTCTTCCACTTGCTTCAACACTTGACGCAGCTTGACGAGGTGTCTTCTTCACAGCCGCTGTCTTTTTCAACACTCCCTCTCGACTCGTTAGCTGCGGCACCTTGGATCCCAAGTCGATCGCGAATGTTTTCAAATTGTACAGCGGCGATCGGCTTGGTCATCATGTCTGCCAGCATATCTTGAGTCGGGCAATACTCCAAAACGACTTCACCTGATTCCACCTTCTCACGCACAAAATGGTAGCGTATGTCGATGTGTTTTGTTCTCTTATGGAACTCCGGGTTCTTGGCGAGAGCGATTGATCCTTGGTTGTCTTCATGCATCTTGATCGCTTCGTCGCTTGTCATCTCACCAAGTTCCCCCAAAAGCACTTTGAGCCATACTGCTTCTTTGGTTGCTTCGGAAAGCGCCATGTATTCTGCTTCTGTTGAAGATAGCGCGACCGTCCGTTGTTTCTGGCTTTTCCAGCTGATGCATCCTCCGCTCATCATGAACACATAGCCGCTTGTACTTCGTCTTGACTCAATGTCGCCGGCCCAGTCTGCGTCGGTGTACCCGCAGATACGGCTTCCTTCTTCACGTGTAAACTCAAGACCATGATTGGGCGTTGCTTGCAGGTATCTCAGCACACGCTTCAAAGCTTGCCAGTGAGTCGGGCATGGGTCGGACGAGAACTGGGATAATGATCCCACTGCAGCAGCTAGATCCGGACGTGTGGCGACCATGAGATACATGATGCCTCCGACAGCACTTCGATATGGCACGTTGCACATGGTGTCTTCGTGCTTGCATTCTTGTTCACACATGTTCTTGGTTAGCTTCAGGCCGGGATCTTGAGGCGTCTTCACTGGCTTGCTGTTATCCATTCCGAACTTGGTTAACACGGACTTGAGGAACTTGGTTTGTTGTACAGTCACCATTCCCGTCTTACGGTCGTTCTTGATCTCCATGCCGAGAAAGTAATCGAGCTCACCGAGATCCGTCATTTCGAAGCGTTTGCTCAGCGCCATCTTGGTTGACTTGAGGAGTTCGTTGTTGCTGCTGGCCAGGATGAGATCATCGACGTAGAGCACCACGAGAATCATGTCTTGGTCGTCTCGCTTGATGTAGATGCAGTGGTCCGATTCGCACTTCTTGAATCCCATCTTGATCATGAACCCATCGATTGTTTGGTTCCACATGCGAGGCGATTGCTTCAAGCCGTAGAGTGATCTCTTTAGCTTGCACACATAGTCCGGCTGTGTTGCATCCAGGTATCCGTCCGGCTGGTCCATGTAGATGTCTTCGTTGAGGGAGCCGTTAAGAAACGCTGTCTTGACGTCCATCTGATGTAGCATTAGGCCGTACTTAGCCGCCATACTGAGCACCACACGAATCGATGTGAACTTGGCCACCGGTGCGAAAGTTTCTTCATAGTCAACTCCGAATTTCTGTGAGAATCCTTTGGCCACAAGTCTTGCCTTGAAACGTTCAACTTCGCCATCTTGATTCTCCTTTACACGAAAAACCCATCGGCACCCGATGGCCTTGCGACCTTTCGGAAGAGGCACGATTTCCCACGTGTCGTTTCTCTGAAGCGAATCGAACTCCGAGTCACATGCTTCTTTCCACTTGCCGGAGTCGCTTGATTCCATCGCCGACTTGAATGTAGTCGGCGTTTCCCCCACTGAATCAACGATGTAGGCTGCTTCAAAATCCATTGCAGCCGCTGACACATGCTCAAGCGACGGACCTCTGTATGTTCTTCGCTTGGGACTTGGAATGACGGTAGCTTTCTCAAGTGATTGAGTGCGCGTGTGTCTCTTGATGTTGCTCTTCGAAGACCTGGTGTCTTCGTTGTCATCGTCGCTCGAGTCCATGTCGTCGTCAGTTTTACCTTCTTCTTTTTCTTCGTCCTCATCATGATCATCAAACTCAACGACACTTGACTCATCGTTGTAGTTGCGCGGACCTTCATCAAACTTGTCTTCCATGAATGTGGCATCGCGACTGATCTTGATCGCTCCTGTTGACACTTCCTCAAATCGATATGACTTCTGGTGTTCGGCGTATCCCAGGAAACGACAGAGTGATGACTTGGAGTCGAACTTCGCGCGTTTGTCTTGAGGCACTTGAACATACGCGTGGCATCCAAACACTTTAAGGTTGGCCAGAATCGGTTTCTTCATCGTCCACACTTGATATGGAGACTTGTCTTGGTGAATGGCACGTGTTGGACAGCGGTTTCGAAGAAACATCGCCGTCATCACTGCTTCACCCCAGTAGCTCTTTCCCAGTCCAGCGTGTTCCATCATGCAACGCGCACACTCGACCAGCGTGCGATTCATTCTCTCAGCTACTCCGTTTAGCTGAGGAGTATATGGGGGGTGTGAACCTTTGTTGTATTCCCCGTTCCGCGCAGAATCGTGCCAGCTTGTCGGACTTGTATTCACCCCCATTGTCGCTTTGAAGGTACTTCACGCGCTTTCCGGTTTGCGTTTCGGCCATCGCAGCGTATTCCATGAACTTCGCCGCAACTTCAGATTTGCTCTTGAGCAGATAGACGACACAGTATCTTGACTTGTCATCAATGAATGTCACGAAGTACCGTTTTCCACTGAAAGTTGCCATCGACATCGGTCCGCATACGTCGCTGTGAATCACTTCGAGGAGTTTGGAGGTGCGAGCTGTAGTGTTTGATTGGAAGCGCACTCGAGTCTGTTTTCCCAGAGCACAACCTTCACACACGTCCCACTTCTTCACCGAAGATATGTCGATGCCAATTCCAATGTTCTTCGTCACGATGCAATTGAGTCCATCGTGACCTATGTGGCCAAGCCGAAGGTGCCAGAGGTACGACTTGGTGCCCCCTTGACATCCCGACGACTTGGCTGCATTTGCTTGTTCCGGCGCCACTGGAGTCATTTGCAGCTTGAACAGTCCTTTACCTTCACGGGCACCAATTTTCCACTTGGTCCCTTTCGCTTTTCCATAGCACCCATCCTTCGTGAACGTCACTGGGCCGACATCCTTGGTGAAGCGGCCGACCGAGAACAGGTTTCTGGATAACTTTGGGATGTGCCACACGTTTGTGAGCACACCTTTCTTCATCCCTTGGGGTGTCTTCATCGACATGACAATGTCCCCACTGCCGATTGCTTGGACGATTCCATCTGTTGAATGATGAAGAGCTTGACGACCGAAACTGGGAGGGATGCTGTGATGAACTTTAGACTTCTTGGTCCGAGTGCAAAACGCAAAGTGAATATATATTTGTAATAGGTACTTAGTTCGCAACTTTGAATACTACCTCTAAGCCTATTATTCGCAGTGACGTCATCCAGTGACGTCACCCACTGAAGTCACCCACTGACGTCATCCAATGACGTCATTTCCTGACTTCGCCCTTACTGGTACATACCGGTACCCACCGGTATAGCGAAGCTTGGTCTTCCACTTGCTTCAACACTTGACGCAGCTTGACGAGGTGTCTTCTTCACAGCCGCTGTCTTTTCAACACTCCCTCTCGACTCGTTAGCTGCGGTACCTTGGATCCCAAGTCGATCGCGAATGTTTTCAAATTGTACAGCGGCGATCGGCTTGGTCATCATGTCTGCCAGCATATCTTGAGTCGGGCAATTCTCCAAAACGACTTCACCTGATTCCACCTTCTCACGCACAAAATGGTAGCGTATGTCGATGTGTTTTGTTCTCTTATGGAACTCCGGGTTCTTGGCGAGAGCGATTGATCCTTGGTTGTCTTCATACACCTTGATCGCTTCGTCGCTTGTCATCTCACCAAGTTCCCCCAAAAGCACCTTGAGCCATACTGCTTCTTTGGTTGCTTCGGAAAGCGCCATGTATTCTGCTTCTGTTGAAGATAGCGCGACCGTCCGTTGTTTCTGGCTTTTCCAGCTGATGCATCCTCCGTTCATCATGAACACATAGCCGCTTGTACTTCGTCTTGACTCAATGTCGCCGGCCCAGTCTGCGTCGGTGTACCCGCAGATACGGCTTCCTTCTTCACGTGTAAACTCAAGACCATGATTGGGCGTTGCTTGCAGGTATCTCAGCACACTCTTCAAAGCTTGCCAGTGAGTCGGGCATGGGTCGGACGAGAACTGGGATAATGATCCTACTGCAGCAGCTAGATCCGGACGTGTGGCGACCATGAGATACATGATGCCTCCGACAGCACTTCGATATGGCACGTTGCATATGGTGTCTTCGTGCTTGCATTCTTGTTCACACATGTTCTTGGTTAGCTTCAGGCCGGGATCTTGAGGCGTCTTCACTGGCTTGCTGTTATCCATTCCGAACTTGGTCAACACGGACTTGAGAAACTTGGTTTGTTGCACAGTCACCATTCCCGTCTTACGGTCGTTCTTGATCTCCATGCCGAGAAAGTAATCGAGCTCACCGAGATCCGTCATTTCGAAGCGTTTGCTCAGCGCCATCTTGGTCGACTTGAGGAGTTCGTTGTTGCTGCTGGCCAGGATGAGATCATCGACGTAGAGCACCACGAGAATCATGTCTTGGTCGTCTCGCTTGATGTAGATGCAGTGGTCCGATTCGCACTTCTTGAATCCCATCTTGATCATGAACCCATCGATTGTTTGGTTCCACATGCGAGGCGATTGCTTCAAGCCGTAGAGTGATCTCTTTAGCTTGCACACATAGTCCGGCTGTGTTGCATCCAGGTATCCGTCCGGCTGGTCCATGTAGATGTCTTCGTTGAGGGAGCCGTTAAGAAACGCTGTCTTGACGTCCATCTGATGTAGCATTAGGCCGTACTTGGCCGCCATACTGAGCACCACACGAATCGATGTGAACTTGGCCACCGGTGCGAAAGTTTCTTCATAGTCAACTCCGAATTTCTGTGAGAATCCTTTGGCCACAAGTCTTGCCTTGAAACGTTCAACTTCGCCATCTTGATTCTCCTTTACACGAAAAACCCATCGGCACCCGATGGCCTTGCGACCTTTCGGAAGAGGCACGATTTCCCACGTGTCGTTTCTCTGAAGCGAGTCGAACTCCGAGTCACACGCTTCTTTCCACTTGCCGGAGTCGCTTGATTCCATCGCCGACTTGAATGTAGTCGGCGTTTCCCCCACTGAATCAACGATGTAGGCTGCTTCAAAATCCATTGCAGCCGCTGACACATGCTCAAGCGACGGACCTCTGTACGTTCTTCGCTTGGGACTTGGAATGACGGTAGCTTTCTCAAGTGATTGAGTGCGCGTGTGTCTCTTGATGTTGCTCTTCGAAGACCTGGTGTCTTCGTTGTCATCGTCGCTCGAGTCCATGTCGTCGTCAGTTTTACCTTCTTCTTTTTCTTCGTCCTCATCATGATCATCAAACTCAACGACACTTGACTCATCGTTGTAGTTGCGCGGACCTTCATCAAACTTGTCTTCCATGAATGTGGCATCGCGACTGATCTTGATCGCTCCTGTTGACACTTCCTCAAATCGATATGACTTCTGGTGTTCGGCGTATCCCAGGAAACGACAGAGTGATGACTTGGAGTCGAACTTCGCGCGTTTGTCTTGAGGCACTTGAACATACGCGTGGCATCCAAACACTTTAAGGTTGGCCAGAATCGGTTTCTTCATCGTCCACACTTGATATGGAGACTTGTCTTGGTGAATGGCACGTGTTGGACAGCGGTTTCGAAGAAACATCGCCGTCATCACTGCTTCACCCCAGTAGCTCTTTCCCAGTCCAGCGTGTTCCATCATGCAACGCGCACACTCGACCAGCGTGCGATTCATTCTCTCAGCTACTCCGTTTAGCTGAGGAGTATATGGGGGTGTGAACCTTTGTTGTATTCCCCGTTCCGCGCAGAATCGTGCCAGCTTGTCGGACTTGTATTCACCCCCATTGTCGCTTTGAAGGTACTTCACGCGCTTTCCGGTTTGCGTTTCGGCCATCGCAGCGTATTCCATGAACTTCGCCGCAACTTCAGATTTGCTCTTGAGCAGATAGACGACACAGTATCTTGACTTGTCATCAATGAATGTCACGAAGTACCGTTTTCCACTGAAAGTTGCCATCGACATCGGTCCGCATACGTCGCTGTGAATCACTTCGAGGAGTTTGGAGGTGCGAGCTGTAGTGTTTGATTGGAAGCGCACTCGAGTCTGTTTTCCCAGAGCACAACCTTCACACACGTCCCACTTCTTCACCGAAGATATGTCGATGCCAATTCCAATGTTCTTCGTCACGATGCAATTGAGTCCATCGTGACCTATGTGGCCAAGCCGAAGGTGCCAGAGGTACGACTTGGTGCCCCCTTGACATCCCGACGACTTGGCTGCATTTGCTTGTTCCGGCGCCACTGGAGTCATTTGTGTTGAAAAGACAGCGGCTGTGAAGAAGACACCTCGTCAAGCTGCGTCAAGTGTTGAAGCAAGTGGAAGACCAAGCTTCGCTATACCGGTGGGTACCGGTATGTACCAGTAAGGGCGAAGTCAGGAAATGACGTCACTGGATGACGTCATTGCATGACGTCAGTGATGAACTTTAGACTTCTTGGTCCGAGTGCAAAACGCAAAGTGAATATATATTTATAATAGGTACTTAGTTCGCAACTTTGAATACTACCTCTAAGCCTATTATTCGCAGTGACGTCATCCAGTGACGTCATTTCCTGACTTCGCCCTTACTGGTACATACCGGTACCCACCGGTATAGCGAAGCTTGGTCTTCCACTTGCTTCAACACTTGACGCAGCTTGACGAGGTGTCTTCTTCACAGCCGCTGTCTTTTCAACACTCCCTCTCGACTCGTTAGCTGCGGCACCTTGGATCCCAAGTCGATCGCGAATGTTTTCAAATTGTACAGCGGCGATCGGCTTGGTCATCATGTCTGCCAGCATATCTTGAGTCGGGCAATACTCCAAAACGACTTCACCTGATTCCACCTTCTCACGCACAAAATGGTAGCGTATGTCGATGTGTTTTGTTCTCTTATGGAACTCCGGGTTCTTGGCGAGAGCGATTGATCCTTGGTTGTCTTCATACATCTTGATCGCTTCGTCGCTTGTCATCTCACCAAGTTCCCCCAAAAGCACTTTGAGCCATACTGCTTCTTTGGTTGCTTCGGAAAGCGCCATGTATTCTGCTTCTGTTGAAGATAGCGCGACCGTCCGTTGTTTCTGGCTTTTCCAGCTGATGCATCCTCCGCTCATCATGAACACATAGCCGCTTGTACTTCGTCTTGACTCAATGTCGCCGGCCCAGTCTGCGTCGGTGTACCCGCAGATACGGCTTCCTTCTTCACGTGTAAACTCAAGACCATGATTGGGCGTTGCTTGCAGGTATCTCAGCACACGCTTCAAAGCTTGCCAGTGAGTCGGGCATGGGTCGGACGAGAACTGGGATAATGATCCCACTGCAGCAGCTAGATCCGGACGTGTGGCGACCATGAGATACATGATGCCTCCGACAGCACTTCGATATGGCACGTTGCACATGGTGTCTTCGTGCTTGCATTCTTGTTCACACATGTTCTTGGTTAGCTTCAGGCCGGGATCTTGAGGCGTCTTCACTGGCTTGCTGTTATCCATTCCGAACTTGGTTAACACGGACTTGAGGAACTTGGTTTGTTGTACAGTCACCATTCCCGTCTTACGGTCGTTCTTGATCTCCATGCCGAGAAAGTAATCGAGCTCACCGAGATCCGTCATTTCGAAGCGTTTGCTCAGCGCCATCTTGGTTGACTTGAGGAGTTCGTTGTTGCTGCTGGCCAGGATGAGATCATCGACGTAGAGTACCACGAGAATCATGTCTTGGTCGTCTCGCTTGATGTAGATGCAGTGGTCCGATTCGCACTTCTTGAATCCCATCTTGATCATGAACCCATCGATTGTTTGGTTCCACATGCGAGGCGATTGCTTCAAGCCGTAGAGTGATCTCTTTAGCTTGCACACATAGTCCGGCTGTGTTGCATCCAGGTATCCGTCCGGCTGGTCCATGTAGATGTCTTCGTTGAGGGAGCCGTTAAGAAACGCTGTCTTGACGTCCATCTGATGTAGCATTAGGCCGTACTTAGCCGCCATACTGAGCACCACACGAATCGATGTGAACTTGGCCACCGGTGCGAAAGTTTCTTCATAGTCAGCTCCGAATTTCTGTGAGAATCCTTTGGCCACAAGTCTTGCCTTGAAACGTTCAACTTCGCCATCTTGATTCTCCTTTACACGAAAAACCCATCGGCACCCGATGGCCTTGCGACCTTTCGGAAGAGGCACGATTTCCCACGTGTCGTTTCTCTGAAGCGAATCGAACTCCGAGTCACACGCTTCTTTCCACTTGCCGGAGTCGCTTGATTCCATCGCCGACTTGAATGTAGTCGGCGTTTCCCCCACTGAATCAACGATGTAGGCTGCTTCAAAATCCATTGCAGCCGCTGACACATGCTCAAGCGACGGACCTCTGTATGTTCTTCGCTTGGGACTTGGAATGACGGTAGCTTTCTCAAGTGATTGAGTGCGCGTGTGTCTCTTGATGTTGCTCTTCGAAGACCTGGTGTCTTCGTTGTCATCGTCGCTCGAGTCCATGTCGTCGTCAGTTTTACCTTCTTCTTTTTCTTCGTCCTCATCATGATCATCAAACTCAACGACACTTGACTCATCGTTGTAGTTGCGCGGACCTTCATCAAACTTGTCTTCCATGAATGTGGCATCGCGACTGATCTTGATCGCTCCTGTTGACACTTCCTCAAATCGATATGACTTCTGGTGTTCGGCGTATCCCAGGAAACGACAGAGTGATGACTTGGAGTCGAACTTCGCGCGTTTGTCTTGAGGCACTTGAACATACGCGTGGCATCCAAACACTTTAAGGTTGGCCAGAATCGGTTTCTTCATCGTCCACACTTGATATGGAGACTTGTCTTGGTGAATGGCACGTGTTGGACAGCGGTTTCGAAGAAACATCGCCGTCATCACTGCTTCACCCCAGTAGCTCTTTCCCAGTCCAGCGTGTTCCATCATGCAACGCGCACACTCGACCAGCGTGCGATTCATTCTCTCAGCTACTCCGTTTAGCTGAGGAGTATATGGGGGTGTGAACCTTTGTTGTATTCCCCGTTCCGCGCAGAATCGTGCCAGCTTGTCGGACTTGTATTCACCCCCATTGTCGCTTTGAAGGTACTTCACGCGCTTTCCGGTTTGCGTTTCGGCCATCGCAGCGTATTCCATGAACTTCGCCGCAACTTCAGATTTGCTCTTGAGCAGATAGACGACACAGTATCTTGACTTGTCATCAATGAATGTCACGAAGTACCGTTTTCCACTGAAAGTTGCCATCGACATCGGTCCGCATACGTCGCTGTGAATCACTTCGAGGAGTTTGGAGGTGCGAGCTGTAGTGTTTGATTGGAAGCGCACTCGAGTCTGTTTTCCCAGAGCACAACCTTCACACACGTCCCACTTCTTCACCGAAGATATGTCGATGCCAATTCCAATGTTCTTCGTCACGATGCAATTGAGTCCATCGTGACCTATGTGGCCAAGCCGAAGGTGCCAGAGGTACGACTTGGTGCCCCCTTGACATCCCGACGACTTGGCTGCATTTGCTTGTTCCGGCGCCACTGGAGTCATTTGCAGCTTGAACAGTCCTTTACCTTCACGGGCACCAATTTTCCACTTGGTCCCTTTCGCTTCTCCATAGCACCCATCCTTCGTGAACGTCACTGGGCCGACATCCTTGGTGAAGCGGCCGACCGAGAACAGGTTTCTGGATAACTTTGGGATGTGCCACACGTTTGTGAGCACACCTTTCTTCATCCCTTGGGGTGTCTTCATCGACATGACAATGTCCCCACTGCCGATTGCTTGGACGATTCCATCATCCGCGAGATGGACATCCACAGCGTCAAATGTTGAAAAGACAGCGGCTGTGAAGAAGACACCTCGTCAAGCTGCGTCAAGTGTTGAAGCAAGTGGAAGACCAAGCTTCGCTATACCGGTGGGTACCGGTATGTACCAGTAAGGGCGAAGTCAGGAAATGACGTCACTGGATGACGTCATTGCATGACGTCAGTGGGTGACGTCACTGCGAATAATAGGCTTAGAGGTAGTATTCAAAGTTGCGAACTAAGTACCTATTATAAATATATATTCACTTTGCGTTTTGCACTCGGACCAAGAAGTCTAAAGTTCATCAGGTTATGAGCCCAAGTTCGTCAGACTCTGAAACCGCCAACAATTCAAGCTTAGCTGCCATGGACGCCTCCTCCCTCCGCATCTCCAAGTTCGATGGAACTAACTTCCACGCCTGGAAGTTCAAGATGCAGATGGTGCTGGAGGAACGGGACCTATGGGAGGTCGTCAGCGGTGAGATCAAGGCGGAACAGTGCGAGACTCAGTTGGACCAAGCGACGTACAAGAGGAAGTCAAGAAAGGCGATGGCAGTGATCTGTCTAGCCATGGAAGATTCCCAGCTACCGTTGGTCCGGTCGGCAAGTGGTGCATGCGACGCATGGTCAAGGTTGGAAGACCACTTCGAGAAGAAGAGTCTTGCCAACAAGCTGTTCTTGCGCCGTCGCTTCTTCACGACAATGATGGAAGAAGGCGACGATGTGCTCGAACACATCAACAAGCTCAAGACGCTGGCGGAACAGCTAGAAGCGGTGGGGGCTCCAGTCTGCGAGGACGATCTGGTGATCACACTCCTCGGCAGCCTGAGTGACTCGTATCAATTCTTGATCACAGCTTTGGAGTCGCGCTCAGACACTCTTAGCTGGGAGCTCGTGACGTCTCGACTGCTTCATGAAGAAATGAAGCGGAAGGAGCAAGGAAGTAAAGGTGATGAAGCTTCGCAAGGTCAAGCGTTCATCACAAGGGACAATCAGCGCAAAGGGCGACCAGTGAAGAAGTCCTGGCCGTGCCACAATTGCGGAAAGATTGGTCACTGGATGGCGGAGTGCCCCTCGCGCATCCAAGAAAACACGGAGAGACACCGGCCACAGCGTGCTCAAGACAGCGGCGACCGCTATCGATCACAACGTGCAAACGTCGCTCAAGAAGAATACTCGGGCGACTACCTCTTTTCGATCGGTGAAACGACATCTGCGAAATCGAGCGACATCTGGCTGGTCGACTCCGGGGCGACGCAGCACATGACGTGCTCCAAGAAGTTCATGCGGAACTACAAGGGGTTTGACGCTGTGGATGTCCATCTCGCGGATGACGGAATCGTCCAAGCAATCGGCAGTGGGGACATTGTCATGTCGATGAAGACACCCCAAGGGATGAAGAAAGGTGTGCTCACAAACGTGTGGCACATCCCAAAGTTATCCAGAAACCTGTTCTCGGTCGGCCGCTTCACCAAGGATGTCGGCCCAGTGACGTTCACGAAGGATGGGTGCTATGGAGAAGCGAAAGGGACCAAGTGGAAAATTGGTGCCCGTGAAGGTAAAGGACTGTTCAAGCTGCAAATGACTCCAGTGGCGCCGGAACAAGCAAATGCAGCCAAGTCGTCGGGATGTCAAGGGGGCACCAAGTCGTACCTCTGGCACCTTCGGCTTGGCCACATAGGTCACGATGGACTCAATTGCATCGTGACGAAGAACATTGGAATTGGCATCGACATATCTTCGGTGAAGAAGTGGGACGTGTGTGAAGGTTGTGCTCTGGGAAAACAGACTCGAGTGCGCTTCCAATCAAACACTACAGCTCGCACCTCCAAACTCCTCGAAGTGATTCACAGCGACGTATGCGGACCGATGTCGATGGCAACTTTCAGTGGAAAACGGTACTTCGTGACATTCATTGATGACAAGTCAAGATACTGTGTCGTCTATCTGCTCAAGAGCAAATCTGAAGTTGCGGCGAAGTTCATGGAATACGCTGCGATGGCCGAAACGCAAACCGGAAAGCGCGTGAAGTACCTTCAAAGCGACAATGGGGGTGAATACAAGTCCGACAAGCTGGCACGATTCTGCGCGGAACGGGGAATACAACAAAGGTTCACACCTCCATATACTCCTCAGCTAAACGGAGTAGCTGAGAGAATGAATCGCACGCTGGTCGAGTGTGCGCGTTGCATGATGGAACACGCTGGACTGGGAAAGAGCTACTGGGGTGAAGCAGTGATGACGGCGATGTTTCTTCGAAACCGCTGTCCAACACGTGCCATTCACCAAGACAAGTCTCCATATCAAGTGTGGACGATGAAGAAACCGATTCTGGCCAACCTTAAAGTGTTTGGATGCCACGCGTATGTTCAAGTGCCTCAAGACAAACGCGCGAAGTTCGACTCCAAGTCATCACTCTGTCGTTTCCTGGGATACGCCGAACACCAGAAGTCATATCGATTTGAGGAAGTGTCAACAGGAGCGATCAAGATCAGTCGCGATGCCACATTCATGGAAGACAAGTTTGATGAAGGTCCGCGCAACTACAACGATGAGTCAAGTGTCGTTGAGTTTGATGATCATGATGAGGACGAAGAAAAAGAAGAAGGTAAAACTGACGACGACATGGACTCGAGCGACGATGACAACGAAGACACCAGGTCTTCGAAGAGCAACATCAAGAGACACACGCGCACTCAATCACTTGAGAAAGCTACCGTCATTCCAAGTCCCAAGCGAAGAACATACAGAGGTCCGTCGCTTGAGCATGTGTCAGCGGCTGCAATGGATTTTGAAGCAGCCTACATCGTTGATTCAGTGGGGGAAACGCCGACTACATTCAAGTCGGCGATGGAATCAAGCGACTCCGGCAAGTGGAAAGAAGCGTGTGACTCGGAGTTCGATTCGCTTCAGAGAAACGACACGTGGGAAATCGTGCCTCTTCCGAAAGGTCGCAAGGCCATCGGGTGCCGATGGGTTTTTCGTGTAAAGGAGAATCAAGATGGCGAAGTTGAACGTTTCAAGGCAAGACTTGTGGCCAAAGGATTCTCACAGAAATTCGGAGTTGACTATGAAGAAACTTTCGCACCGGTGGCCAAGTTCACATCGATTCGTGTGGTGCTCAGTATGGCGGCTAAGTACGGCCCTAATGCTACATCAGATGGACGTCAAGACAGCGTTTCTTAACGGCTCCCTCAACGAAGACATCTACATGGACCAGCCGGACGGATACCTGGATGCAACACAGCCGGACTATGTGTGCAAGCTAAAGAGATCACTCTACGGCTTGAAGCAATCGCCTCGCATGTGGAACCAAACAATCGATGGGTTCATGATCAAGATGGGATTCAAGAAGTGCGAATCGGACCACTGCATCTACATCAAGCGAGACGACCAAGACATGATTCTCGTGGTGCTCTACGTCGATGATCTCATCCTGGCCAGCAGCAAAAACGAACTCCTCAAGTCAACCAAGATGGCGCTGAGCAAACGCTTCGAAATGACGGATCTCGGTGAGCTCGATTACTTTCTCGGCATGGAGATCAAGAACGACCGTAAGACGGGAATGGTGACTGTACAACAAACCAAGTTTCTCAAGTCCGTGTTAACCAAGTTCGGAATGGATAACAGCAAGCCAGTGAAGACGCCTCAAGATCCCGGCCTGAAGCTAACCAAGAACATGTGTGAACAAGAATGCAAGCACGAAGACACCATGTGCAACGTGCCATATCGAAGTGCTGTCGGAGGCATCATGTATCTCATGGTCGCCACACGTCCGGATCTAGCTGCTGCAGTGGGATCATTATCCCAGTTCTCGTCCGACCCATGCCCGACTCACTGGCAAGCTTTGAAGCGTGTGCTGAGATACCTGCAAGCAACGCCCAATCATGGTCTTGAGTTTACACGTGAAGAAGGAAGCCGTATCTGCGGGTACACCGACGCAGACTGGGCCGGCGACATTGAGTCAAGACGAAGTACAAGCGGCTATGTGTTCATGATGAGCGGAGGATGCATCAGCTGGAAAAGCCAGAAACAACGGACGGTCGCGCTATCTTCAACAGAAGCAGAATACATGGCGCTTTCCGAAGCAACCAAAGAAGCAGTATGGCTCAAAGTGCTTTTGGGGGAACTTGGTGAGATGACAAGCGACGAAGCGATCAAGATGTATGAAGACAACCAAGGATCAATCGCTCTCGCCAAGAACCCGGAGTTCCATAAGAGAACAAAACACATCGACATACGCTACCATTTTGTGCGTGAGAAGGTGGAATCAGGTGAAGTCGTTTTGGAGTATTGCCCGACTCAAGATATGCTGGCAGACATGATGACCAAGCCGATCGCCGCTGTACAATTTGAAAACATTCGCGATCGACTTGGGATCCAAGGTGCCGCAGCTAACGAGTCGAGAGGGAGTGTTGAAAAGACAGCGGCTGTGAAGAAGACACCTCGTCAAGCTGCGTCAAGTGTTGAAGCAAGTGGAAGACCAAGCTTCGCTATACCGGTGGGTACCGGTATGTACCAGTAAGGGCGAAGTCAGGAAATGACGTCACTGGATGACGTCATTGCATGACGTCAGTGGGTGACGTCACTGCGAATAATAGGCTTAGAGGTAGTATTCAAAGTTGCGAACTAAGTACCTATTATAAATATATATTCACTTTGCGTTTTGCACTCGGACCAAGAAGTCTAAAGTTCATCATCAAACCCCTTGTAGTTCCGCATGAACTTCTTGGAGCACGTCATGTGCTGCGTCGCCCCGGAGTCGACCAGCCAGATGTCGCTCGATTTCGCAGATGTCGTTTCACCGATCGAAAAGAGGTAGTCGCCCGAGTCTTCTTCTTGAGCGACGTTTGCACGTTGTGATCGATAGCGGTCGCCGCTGTCTTGAGCACGCTGTGGCCGGTGTCTCTCCGTGTTTTCTTGGATGCGCGAGGGGCACTCCGCCATCCAGTGACCAATCTTTCCGCAATTGTGGCACGGCCAGGACTTCTTCACTGGTCGCCCTTTGCGCTGATTGTCCCTTGTGATGAACGCTTGACCTTGCGAAGCTTCATCACCTTTACTTCCTTGCTCCTTCCGCTTCATTTCTTCATGAAGCAGTCGAGACGTCACGAGCTCCCAGCTAAGAGTGTCTGAGCGCGACTCCAAAGCTATGATCAAGAATTGATACGAGTCACTCAGGCTGCCGAGGAGTGTGATCACCAGATCGTCCTCGCAGACTGGAGCCCCCACCGCTTCTAGCTGTTCCGCCAGCGTCTTGAGCTTGTTGATGTGTTCGAGCACATCGTCGCCTTCTTCCATCATTGTCGTGAAGAAGCGACGGCGCAAGAACAGCTTGTTGGCAAGACTCTTCTTCTCGAAGTGGTCTTCCAACCTTGACCATGCGTCGCATGCACCACTTGCCGACCGGACCAACGGTAGCTGGGAATCTTCCATGGCTAGACAGATCACTGCCATCGCCTTTCTTGACTTCCTCTTGTACGTCGCTTGGTCCAACTGAGTCTCGCACTGTTCCGCCTTGATCTCACCGCTGACGACCTCCCATAGGTCCCGTTCCTCCAGCACCATCTGCATCTTGAACTTCCAGGCGTGGAAGTTAGTTCCATCGAACTTGGAGATGCGGAGGGAGGAGGCGTCCATGGCAGCTAAGCTTGAATTGTTGGCGGTTTCAGAGTCTGACGAACTTGGGCTCATAACCTGATGAACTTTAGACTTCTTGGTCCGAGTGCAAAACGCAAAGTGAATATATATTTATAATAGGTACTTAGTTCGCAACTTTGAATACTACCTCTAAGCCTATTATTCGCAGTGACGTCATCCAGTGACGTCACCCACTGAGTCACCCACTACGTCATCCAGTGACGTCATTTCCTGACTTCGCCCTTACTGGTACATACCGGTACCCACCGGTATAGCGAAGCTTGGTCTTCCACTTGCTTCAACACTTGACGCAGCTTGACGAGGTGTCTTCTTCACAGCCGCTGTCTTTTCAACAGTCAGTGGGTGACGTCAGTGGGTGACGTCACTGGATGACGTCACTGCAAATAATAGGCTTAGAGGTAGTATTCAAAGTTGCGAACTAAGTACCTATTATAAATATATATTCACTTTGCGTTTTGCACTCGGACCAAGAAGTCTAAAGTTCATCAGGTTATGAGCCCAAGTTCGTCAGACTCTGAAACCGCCAACAATTCAGAGCTTAGCTGCCATGGACCCTCCTCCTCCCTCCCGCATCTCCAAGTTCGATGGAACTAACTCCACGCCTGGAAGTTCAAGATGCAGATGGTGCTGGAGGAACGGGACCTATGGGAGGTCGTCAGCGGTGAGATCAAGGCGGAACAGTGCGAGACTCAGTTGGACCAAGCGACGTACAAGAGGAAGTCAAGAAAGGCGATGGCAGTGATCTGTCTAGCCATGGAAGATTCCCAGCTACCGTTGGTCCGGTCGGCAAGTGAGTGCATGCGACGCATGGTCAAGGTTGGAAGACCACTTCGAGAAGAAGAGTCTTGCCAACAAGCTGTTCTTGCGCCGTCGCTTCTTCACGACAATGATGGAAGAAGGCGACGATGTGCTCGAACACATCAACAAGCTCAAGACGCTGGCGGAACAGCTAGAAGCGGTGGGGGCTCCAGTCTGCGAGGACGATCTGGTGATCACACTCCTCGGCAG